ACCCTGATTTAGGCCAGTTGATATCTGAGGCAAGAGTACACCTGAGGCATAATATATATACATATCTTTGCACTATCAACGTCTGATGGGTGTTTGTACGTTTATACATTTATTCAAGACTGGAAGTGTAATTGCTTTTATTGCTTTCATTATCGAATAGTCAATCCGAAAAATATATGATTGGCATCACATGACATTAATGATTCATTATAAAAAGTTTGATAATCAAATTTCACGATTACGATAAACGATGCCGAAAAAAGAACCAATTCACGGCTTATTTGCCGTTAACAAACCTAGTGGAAAAGCAATTAGGCAAGTTTTACAACATATAAATCATACATTCCGTTTGCATGCTGAAAGAACTCGACCAGAAATGACGAGAAGACAAGTAGTATCATTAGGTACTTGTTTGACTCAAACAAAATATTGGAGTTCGGGTGTATGTGTTGTCGGTGTAAATCAGGGTTGTAGACACTTGAAATCTCAAGAAAAAATGAATGAGGTAACTTTGAATAAAATAGAATCGGTGGATAATCTCAAATGAGATGTTTAATACAATAGTTTTTATTAGAGATATCATGCAACAGGACTATTGGGTTTCTCTACTAGCACCAAAGATCTTGTTGGTAATGTAGTTGATACTGCATCAACATCACATATAACACGTCAACAAATATTAAATGTCCTGCCGACATTCCAAGGAAAAATATATCAAGAAGAATTTAAGTAAATTACTCAGTATTAATTTTAAAATGCTTTTTTGAATCCCAAAAATAAGTATTTAAAATTAGTGAATTAAAAATAAGTAATTATAATTAAAATTAGGATACCAGAAACACAACCAATTGTTAAGCCACCATTTTTTAAAGATTTCGCTTTGTTATCAAAACGACAACAAAAAAAAATTCTACACCAAAAATACAAAACACCTCCATCCACACCAACATCTCCAAGAGTTGAAGTGCAAAGTCAAAAAATTATCCATTCAGTGGAATTATTGGAATTTACAAAAGTACATAAATACAAACCACCGATTCTAATTAACACTTTGAAGCCTTCGGACGCACTGAATCCTGAATTTGACCATTTTCAAACATCTGAAATGTTAGAAATGGAGATGTCAAATACATCGGAATTTCCAGATGAACAAACACCTATTAACACTCCACTAAGTAATCTAATTAATTTATTAGGTAAATCAGATCATCATCCGATTTTTAAAATTAATGTTGAATGTAGCTCGGATGCGCCAATTGGTCGCTTAATTGACGAAATTGGACATAGATTGGGTAGCGTGGCATTTTTAACAGAACTAGAAAGAGTCAGACAAGGAGATTTTGAATTGCATAAGGATACACTTGAGTGGGAAGAATTAGAAAGATTTGATAATATTTACGATGCTCTGAATGATTGGATTAGGAAAGTTAGAAATAAAGGATATGAATGACTTAATTATTATTTTATTCTAAATTTCAGTCAAAAGGGAATTCAGAACAATGTATAATTTTTCTTCATATATTATAACTAACCAATAGATACTGATTGATTTCACACATAATGAACGAGACCTAAGAGATAGTAATATAATAACCATACACGTTTTTTGGAATTTATTGTATCATTGTACTGTTATAATTCTCCAGAAAGAACTTAACTCTTATAAGGTTAAGTTAGCTACACAGGTAGAACAATAACCCTTTTCAATCAAGTATTCTTTCAAAAATCCTTGGTGTGATATGCAACCTTTCTGAATATCTTCTAAATATTTTCCAACCTTTTATATTACATGTGAAAGAGATACGGAAAGAATTCGATAATAAAGAAAATATTGGAAAAGTTGTATATCGACCAAATATTTTTGAAAGAATACTTGTGAAAAAGGTTAATTGTTCTACCTGTGCTAGTGCTGACTATAATACTGGCTAATTTAGTCAGGGTCGTGTTCTTTCGGAAAATGACCTTCAGAAATCATACACTTAACCCAATTTTTTAAGTATTTTGCTATGTAAAAGAATTATAATTTTGGTTATATTAATAGATTAAATTATAGTAAAAATCATAGTAAAAAGGAAAATTCTAATTTTTTAAGAGTATTGCTATTTCCACCCCATTTTTGCTAATGCAACCCCCTAAAATGTAACAAAAATGCTCTGGAAGGGATATTGTTATTAAGAAAACCTCTTTAGTCTTAATAAAAGTTGTTCATCAGTTCTATGTGTAGTAAAATCATTAAAATCGGGCTGATAGTTTTTTTTTAAAAGTAAATGAAAGATAACTAACTTCGGATATAAATATCTTAGGAACTACTGGTCCGATTTTAATGATTTTACTACCATTAGAACCAGAAAGGCCTGATGATCAACTTTTATTAAGACAAAAATAAAATTTCTTAATAACATTACCTCTTCCGGAGCACTTTTTGATATCTGGGGTGGCATTAGCAAAAATGGGGGTGGCAATAGCAATACTCTTCTTTAATCATATATATGTAGCAAGTTGTTTTTATAATACAAATAGTATAGTATAGTCTAGAGTTTGGAACCTGTTTTATTTTATATGTTAAAATCAGGTTAACATATGGTGCTGGTAGTTAGTCTATACTAGGCAATCAAAATTATATAATTTAAAATGCATCAGCTTTTTATAGAAACAATATTTTCAAAAAAACTGACAATTTTATTAAACATATAATATAGACGGTACGGTCAGATTTTTAAAATTTTGTTTTTACAAAAAGGTATAGCATTTTAAAATTTATTTAAAATTGAAACATATAGTAAAATAATGTATAGATATTAAAATAATATTAATTTTTAAAACGCGCACTAACTTTTTATATAGAATGTTTTTAAAAAAATAATTAGCAAATTTATAGCACTATAAAATTACTGGTTAGTTTTTTGAAAAATCTCCTGTATAAAAAGTTGTAGTGATGTAAAAAAAATGAAACTTGCCTAGTATATGAATAACTTTTGTTTCACTGATCCTTTTGGGATGATTTTATTATTAAAATGTCCGCCAGCCTCGATGAGACGATTCCAACGAGCCCCAAATCGTATTTTAGGATTGGTTAAACCAATTCTAAAACATCCGAATTGACACGAAATTTCAATGATCTCAGGATCTTGTGATTGATTTGGAGCTCGTTGGAATCGTCTCATCAAGGCGGACACTTTAGTGACCGGTGGACCAAAAGTTACTGCAAAAGTTAGTTTGTGTATTCAATTCCAAAAATAAGCCTCAATATGATGTGTAAGACCTCATTTATAGATCATGCATTTAGGAATATAACAATTAGTGTTGTTTTTAGTCATTGGGCTTTAGCGTTTAAAAACAAATTACGCAACTTTTTTGTTTATTAAGCCTTAGCAGTAATCGTTTTTAACTAGATAGTAAAATTATACAATGACAATATTCTGATAACATTATGATGTTATCAATTATACAATATATAATTAATAAATACGTATATTCAGAGAGTACATTCAAAATTAATATAAATAAAGACTTTACCAAAAATTTATGGCCAAGTTTATCAGGTCAAATTATCAATTCGTAAAGAAGCCAGATTCTTTTTTAAAGTTTAATCAATTTTTTTTAAACAAAAAATTTAACATGGGTAAAATCACTGCTCAAGATTTAAAAGATCATATTGTTAAGGTCAAAATCAACGATCCACACCAAGAACATTTTGACAAGCTTATGGAGGCAATCGGTATATATTAAAGAATGCTTACAAAAAACATATACGCGTATTATTTTTGCAAATTATTGAATTTATAAAAAAAAAACATAATGATACGTAACGATAATAGGATCGGCTAGAGTTGTAATGATTGGTGAAGCGAGCCATGGAACGAGGTTATTATTATTTTTTAAATATTCAAATAGAAAATATTCAAGTAGTTCTTTACCAATTAAACAAATCTACTTTTTTGACAATTTATGATTAGCGATTTTTATCGTGAGCGTATTTATCTAACTCAGAGATTGATCACTGAAAAGGGATTTACGGCGGTATATTCTAAAAATTTATTATTATCGTGTTTTTTAATATGATTAATATTATAAAATATATTTCTTTTTAGGTTTGTGTCGAAGCTGATTATCCAGATTCGATGACCATTAATAAGTAATAAAACAATAACAATTATTTGCCAACGATGATAATAAAACCGGAAATCTCACATATCATTAATAGATATATTAAAAACATCGCTCCGCCAACCGTTAAAACACCCATCGATTCTTTACAAGATTTTAAACGCTTTCCTTTGTGGATGTGGCGTAATGAAGGTAACATATTGTATAGCATTAATAAAACTTATTCAACACTTTTATGTGCTTTCAACATTTGATGTATTTATGCATATCATGATATTATATCAGAAATGCTCAATTATATCGATTGGTGTCGTCGATATAATGACAAGTTAGAGGCTGAAGGAAAAGGATACTACGATAAAGTAAGTTTTTAACATAATAAATTTTTTGTATCTCTTCTTGAATATGTTTGTTTTTTAATATTATAGGTTTCTTTTTATGGCCTTGATTTGTATTCTCTTAATGCGAGTTGCGAAGCCGTAATTGATTACCTTCAAAAAGTTAATCCTAAAGCGGCACAAAAAGCGCGTGAAAGGTATTAATGTACATATTTATTTAATCCATTATTGTCAAGAACTGATATCAATTTTTTTTTTGTTTATACGTTAAGATATGGTATTTTCGAACGTTTTGGTAAAGATACGATGAGCTATGCCTTCGCAGCTCGTTATGGATTAATTGAATCGGCTGAAAAAGAAGTTATTGCTGTTTTGAAAGATTTGTGTCAAAAAAGGGGTGAATATTTGTTAAAACAATTAAAAGAATCTGGACCAATTGAAGAATATCAATTTGCCGCTGAGGTTTGTGACGATTCTCTATAAATTATTAACAATTATTATTACATTATATGGTGTATTATTAATTTTATCTTTGCAGTCAAATTCTCTCGTTGTCAAAGATGCTGAAGAGTATTATCGTCTCATGCTCTTTGAAAATGTTAAATCATGGAACTTAAGAGATTCACATATGGTTCGAACTTTGAATCAAATATTGGATCACCTAACGAAATGTCGTAATGGTTGTCCTGCCAAAGCAGTTATTTGGGCTCATAACAGGTTTTAAGTTCTTGATACGGTTATAGTGTGATAATAATTATGAACGAATTAACATTTAAATTGGTGATTAGTCATTTGGGTGACGCGCGAAATACTGATATGGGAATGTTTCGTGGTGAAATAAATGTTGGTCAATTAATTCGCGAACAATTTGGCGATAGAAGTTTTAATGTTGGATTCACAACATACACTGTAATTAAGAATTTTTATTTGCCATCTTGTTGGATAGCATATTCTTTTATCATATTAATGCTTATTGGAATAACTTAGGGGACTGGTAAATTCTTATTTTGTATATAAATTTATATTAAACATAGCTTGGTTTAATTTTGATTTACTTTGATATTTCAAAACATTAGTAACTGCTGCTCATGAATGGTAAGCAATTTATTTTAAGTTTATTTCATGAATTGTCATTTATACAGTGGATAATGTACTTTCAGGAATACTCCACCTGAATTGATGAAAATTGTCCCAGGAAGGAAGGACTCTTATGAAGGTAATAGCAATATCATGCTAAATAAATAAGATTTAATTTTTTTTTTCTAATTTTCCTCATAATATTTATGATTAGGCGTGTTTCATAATATTAGCGAAGATCTTAAATTTCCAAATTTTCTCATAATCTTTGACAAAATAATTTCTTCGTCTGATCATGAGGAGTCGAAAAAGAAAATAATTTCTAAAGATTTAACTGAAAAATTATCTGAACCGCTACTTGAAAGAGCAATTGGTGTAATTTACAAACCGAATACAGAACGATGGAGTCATTATTTTTCAGCAAAATTATCAAAGCAATTTGATGCAGTTATTCATTTGGATGTGACAAGAGCTATTATGCCGATTGACAAATTTAAAGCGTTTAAAGAAGAAGAGAATGTTCCGGGTATGTACATGTGTATTTTAAGGATTATTTTTTAGGAATTACTTTAAGAATTGAGTCATCGGTGTGATATTTCAACTTTAGAGCTGTATCCGTTCGCCGTGTAAAATTCCTTATTTATCGGAGTATTATAGATAGAAAATTCTGTCAATTGCATTTGTATTTGCTTTATCATTATTAAAATTGTAATTTTGCTTACAAAAATTATGCCATATACACTTGTTTGATTTGTTTGATCATCTTTAGTGATACTAATTAGCTCAGCACACTTTGTAAAGTAGTACCAGTACGTGCATAAATGGATAAATATATAATTTGTTTTGCAATTTTTGCTATTAATGTCATTATCCTTGTCTGCCTTAAGTTTTGTTAAAAAAAGTCTTTAATATTTACAATGTTAATTGAACGATTCGGTAGTTTAAAAAATGTTAGAATATGTAAAGTTTTTACTACAATCCAACATCATCAAACTAGAATATTTATATCAAGACATCTAGAAATAAAATCACTTTCTAGAAATTACCATAAAGAAAGAGCTCAGATTATAAATTCTTCCAATGTATTATTTCAAGTTTCCAAACTTACAATTCCTAAAAATTCTTTAAAGCTCTCTAATTCAATTATTTTATCACATCATCTAAAATTTTATCCTTGTATTGATCATAATGTAATAAAAATGCCGAATTACAAAGTTCTTTTTCTTCTTCT